GGCTGCAACCAAAAAATAGCCAGGTGTTGTGGTGGGCGCCTGTGGTCCCAGCTACTTGGGAGGCTGAGGCAGGAGACTCACTTGAGCCCAGGAGTTGGGAGGTTGCTGTGATCTGTGATGCCACGATACTCTACCCAGGGGGATAGCTTGAGGCTCTGTTTCAAAAAAAAAGAAAGAAAAGGTATTGGTACCTTATGTAGACAGATGAATGTGAGGCCCAGAGAGATAAACTGTTTTGCCCAAAGTCTCCTGTCTGTGTAACTGGTGAATGGGTAAATGAACCAGGACTTAAACTCAGGTAATTTTCTCTACCATACTCTGTCGTCACATGCCAGTAACATTCTTTAGGAATTTGTTATACTGGCTTCATGATTTAAAAAAAATTTACTATGTATTATAGCTGTAAGGCTTAAAAACCTCTGTAATAGCTTATATCAAAACTCTTTATGGGCCAGGCATGGTAGCTCATGCCTATAATCCTTTAAGGAGCCAAGGCAAGAAGATTGCTTGAGCCCAAGAGTTAGAGAAAAGCCTGGGAAACATAGTGCCCCTCTCTGCAAAATTAGAAAAAGTATCCAGGTGTGGTGGTGTGTACCTGTAGTCTTGCCTACTCAGGAAGCTGAGGTGGGAGGATTACTTGAGCTTAGGAGTTTGAGGTTGCAGTGAGCTATGGGGATGCCACTGCACTCTAGCCTGGGCAACAGAGTGAGACTCTGTTTCAGTGCCCCCCCCCCAAAAACAAACAAAACTTAGGAAAATATGTTTTCCTTATCTGAGTTGGCTATATGAGAACTGGGATTACAGTATTAGTAGAAGTAAGTTCTCTACTGCTTCTTTCTTCATTATGTGCAATATGGATGCAGTCCACTTATGGGATTAGCAGATTGTGATAGGTGGGGAAGCCTCCAGCTATCCAGTTCTTTGAATGTCACCCACAGGAATTCAGAGGCAGCCTATGCCAACAACAGATCATGATTGTTGTGGACTCACTTACCAGTGTTTTCTTTGTACTCTTTCTTCTGCACTGTTATCAAATAACTCTCTTCTCAGGTCTCATTCAGTCAGATAATACAGAAGACAGATGGGTTCCTCATCTTTTCCCAAGACTTTTCTGTACAATTGCTTTAAACCTTTTAGCTATAATTGTTTGTGAGGTAACTGATTTTTTCCCCCTTTCTTTTTATTTCAATAGATTTAGGGGTATGAGTGGTTTTTTGTTAGGTGAATGAATTCTATAGTGGTGTAGTCAGGGCTTTCTGTGTACCCATCAACCAAATAGTGTACATTGTACCAAACAAATAGTTTGGTACAATGAACCAAAACCCCTGAATCCCTTCTCATGCTCTCCCTTCTGAGTCTCTAAAGTCCATGCTGTATGACTACTCATCATTTAGCTGCCACTTTTTTTTTTTTTTTTTTTTGTAGAGAGTCTCACTTTATCACCCTCGGTAGAGTGCCATGGCATCACACAGCTCACAGCAACCTCCAACTCCTGGGCTTAGGTGATTCTCTTGCCTCAGCCTCCCGAGTAGCTGGGGCTACAGGTGCCCACCACAATACCCAGCTACTCTTTTTGTTGTTGCAATTTGGCCGGGGCTGGGTTTGAACTCACCACCCTCGGTATATGGGGCTGGCACCTTACCCATTGAGCCACAGGCACTGCCCTTAGCTCCCACTTTTAAGTGAGTACACATGGTATGTTATTTTTGTTCCTGAATTACTTCACTTAGGTTAATGGATTCTAGTTCCAATCAAGTTGTTGTGAAAGACATTGTTCTATTCTATTTTATGGCTGAGTAGTATTCCATGATGTGTGGACACACATACACGGTGGACATAAAGTTCATGTGCAACTTAAAATAGTTTAACCTAGTAAATTGCACACAAACTTTATGTCCACCCTGTATATATACACATACTATACTTTCTTTATTCATGCATCACTTAATAGGCACTTAGGTTGTTTCTGTATGTTTGCAGTTGTGAACTGTGCCATGATTAACGTAGAAATACATGTGTCTTCTTATATAATGACATCTTTTCCTTTGGGTGGATCCTAAGTAGTGGGATTGCTGAATTGACTGGTAGGTCTTCTTATAGGTGGGTGGATTGCCTGAGCTCACAGGTTCTCAAGACCAGCCTGAGCCAGAGCGAGAACCCCATCTCTAAAAATAGCCGTGTGTATGCCAGGTGCCTGTAATCCCAGCTACTTGGGAGGCTGAGGCAAGAGATTTGCTTGAGCCCAAGAGTTTGAGGTTGCTATGAGCTGTGACTGTACGGCACTCTATGGAGGGCGACAAAGTGAGACTCTGCCTCAAAAAGAAAAAAAAGTACTTTTAGGTATTTGAAGTGAGGTAATTGATTTGTGAGCAAAGCTAAGACTGAGGTTTTGTTATTATTTGGGATTCATTGAGGGTACAAAGAATTGGGTTACACTGATTGTAGTTGTTAGGTAAAGTCCCTCTTGCAATTGTGTCCCGCCCCCCAAGAGGTGTGCCATATACTGTAATCCCCCATTTCCTCCCTCCTCCCCTCTCCCTAATCCCTCATTCCCCTACAGTCCATTATTTAGATCATCTGTTGCCTTCATATTAGAATTGAATACATTGGATTCTTGCTTCTCCATTCTTGTGATGCTTTACTAAGAAGAATGTGTTCCACCTCCATCCAGGTTAATACAAAAGATGGAAAGTCTCCTTTTTTTTTAATGGCTGAATAGTATTCCATGGTATACATATTCCATAGCTTGTTAATCCATTCCTGGGTTGGTGGCCATTTAGGCTGTTTTCATGTTTTGGCAATGTAAATTGAGCTGGGATAAACAGTCTAGTGCAAATGTCTTCATGATAGAAGGACTTTTTTTCTTCTGGGTAGATGCCTAGTAATGGGATTGCAGGATCAAATGGGAGGTCTATGGCTTGGTGCCAATAGCTCAGCAGCTAGGACACTGGCCACATACACCAGGGCTAGTGGCTTCAAACCTAACCTGGGCCTGCCAAACAACAATGGCAACTACAACAAAAAAATATCTGGGCATTGTGACAGTCACCTGTAGTCCCAGCTGCTTGGGAGGCTGAGGCAAGAGAATCGCTTAAGCCCAAGAGTTTGAGGTTGCTGTGAGCTGTGATGCCACAGCACTCTACCAAGGGCAACATAGTAAGACTCTGTCTAAAAAAAAGAAAAAAATTAGAGGTCTAATTTGAGTTCTTTGAGGATTCTCCATACGTCCTTCCAAAAAGGTTGTATTACTTTGCAGTCCCACCATCAGTGTAAAAGTGTTCCCTTAATCTCCAAATACACGCCAGCACCTGCAATTTTGAGACTTTGTGATGTGGGCTATTCTGATTGGGGTTAGGTGATATCTCAGGTGATGTTGATTTGCATTTCTCTGATGATCAAGGTGCTGAGCATTTTTTCACGTTTGTTAGCCATTTGTCTGTCTTCATCAGAGAAGGTTCTGTTCATCTCTCTTGCCCAGAGGTAGATGGGATTGTTTACTCTTTTTCTGTTGATTTCTTTTTCTTTTCTTTTTTGAGACAGAGTCTCACTTTGCCACTCTCGATAGAGTGCTGTGGCATCATGGCAACCTCAAACTCTTGGGCTTTAGTG